AATATTTTTTTAAATAATTATATTTAAAAATTTTTTTGAAAATAATCATTTTAAAAAAATTCCATTAACGTAAATGAATATAAAAGACAATTTTACTATAAAACTTTTGTATACAACATTTTTTGAATCTTGAATAAACATCTTGAATAGTTTTCGAGATATAACGAAAGAAAAAAAGAATTAATTTACATATAAGAGGTGGATTCATCCCTTTAAACCGTTTTTTAGCACCAACTGATAATTTCTAAATTCATCTATTTATGTGACCTCAAAGTGTACCAAGTTTCATTAAAATCAGAATTTGACACTTCGCGAGGTTCCCTTGTTAGTCACTTGTGATTAGTGTGAGTGTAAGTGATAGTCAACTGAACTCTCAGTCTCACTGTTGTGACGTGCAACTATACCGTATGTATTTTTCATACTATTTGTTGTGCAGACCACATTAGAGAGATAACAATAATACTTCGGTTGAGGCAACTTCACATATGAAGATATTCTAATTAACCAAATGTTATTTATCCTAAGCACAACGGCTGTACTAATGAGCATATTATACCTTAACAGATGTATGCCATGTCAACATCAATATAACTTAAATTATATAAATTCACGTGCATTTCTTTTCCAAATATAGAGAATATTGATGTAACATCTACAGCAATTTTTTCCGTGAAAAAACAAAGTTGAAAGTTCTTTCTACCTCTCGAGAGCCAGGATGCATTTTCGAATGCAAAAAGACAACGACGACCAAAATGACGCGAACGTAATCTTCCGATGACGTAATCGAAGCAGATGCGCTATCGGCGCAACTTCACGCCGGATTTCTCTCTCGTCGCTTTTCCCGCGTATATATTAGCGGAACAACCTATCGTTAATAATTCTTTGTCTATCCATATCTTATGCATGTTCTTCAGCATCGACGAGGAGGCGGAGGTCCATTTCCCTCTCGGCTCGACGCAACCGAACGACACGCGGCCGTTTCTCCCTGGCTCACGTTAAAATCGCGGCTTCTGTGTGCGTAATGCGGTGGATGCGCGCCTACGGTCGTCGGTTTGTCCGACTCTCTTGACTCGATTTCGCGACCGCAACTCCTCTCCCTGGGAAGATATATCTCTCCCTGTATGCCTCGGCGAACGCCTCTCTTTCTAGCTCTCTCTCTCTCTCGTCCTCTCGCTCTCGCGCGCCGAGTTTGTCCTTCTCGCCCCTTTCCGCAGCCGGTGCCCTTCTCGGATTCTCCGTCTTTCTCCGACGCGACGGGGCCCCGCCGATGGGACCAAGGGGGCCGGAGCGGACCCCGTCGCGGAGACAACATAAAGATTTAAGACTGAGAGATGCGCCAATAAACATGCTGCGCCCCTGCCGCAGTCAGCTCGCGCTTCTCCGCTGTGTGTTCCGTTTCTCCTTCGATTCTGCTCCGCTCCGCTCCGAGATGTTCTGTTCCGCACGCCGTTCGCTGCTCGCAGCCACCGCACATATGCACGCCTGCATATACGCGTACGCGCGTATACAGGGTGTCCTGTCCTCGATAGTTTTAGCGTTTTTTTGCCTTTAAATTCTGCGGCACGAAATCGGGAATGGATTTTTTTTTCTGCTAAAATCATTCTTAAATGTCCAATTATAGGTCGAAGAAAATCTAGAGAAACTAAACAAAACAAATTGTGCTATCTATATATATTAATATATAGTTAGGTAGCACAAAATCTCGATTTTCGTTTTGTTAGTCTCTCCAGATTTTCTTTGATCTAATTGGACATTTAAGAATGATTAGAAATAAGAATAGATTAAGAATTTTAACATGTTAATTCTACCTTTACGAAAAAATCACATTAATTTAATTTGCGATATTTGTAATTTGGAATAAATTCGTCCGCTATTCGTAGAGATTAGATAATTGTTAATCACGCGTCTGGCGATTCATTTCGTTCTCGACGAACACGCCTCTAAAAATCCGTCCTATGACGTTCGAAGAAGAGGTGGCTCCTCCGGATAACGAGATGCGGGTACACCTGCCAGCCTCCTGCGCACGGCGGAAATAAAAGCTCTCCGATGCGAAAGGACGGTCGTATACCGCGAAAGTAGTAGATCGGGACGTTGGTCGAGAGCAAAGCGACAAGGGGCTTGAGAGCCGGGGGACTGCTGCCGGTACTCTCCTCTCTGGCTCTCCCTCGTTCCCTCTCTCTCTCTTCTTTTCTCCGCAGTTTCGCCCCTCCGCTCTCCTCGCTTCCCCGACTTATTTATTCCTTTCTCCGTCGCTAGCTCCCTTTCTTCCTCGACTTCTTCTTTATTTCTCTCCTTTTGCCCGTTTTCTGCTTCCGCAAACGACAGCCGCTTATTTATATCCCGTCTTTGCATCGCGCGGGGCCTTCCCGAGCGAGGGTGCTTTTGCGTTTACTCGCTACTGCCGAGTTGCCGTTGCTGCTGCTGCTGCCGCCGCCACCGCCGTCGATTCTCTTTTTCTTTTCTCTTTCTCTCTCCCTCTCTCTCTCCGTCTTTTAACCCGCCGCTCGTTCCGCGATGCCACACGTAACTTATGTTACGTCATGTCGTCTCGTTAATCATATCCTACGGACACCTCAACGGCTTCATTAATTACTAGCTGTTTATTCCTTGCGCCGCGAGGCTTCCTTGTCCACGCTAATTTACTATCGATACGTATTGCTTTACGTATGTTCCACTGATAACTCGTTTGCGATATCTCTTCAGCGTCCTCCTTCGTCATCGTATCCTCTTCGTCGTTCCTCGGCGTTTCAACAGTGAAACGCGCTTCTTCGAATTAGAAAGGCAGGTCGTGTAACAGCAACAAATGACTTCCTCTCCTCTCGTTCTTCCCTCGATATCCTCCTGGTCCCCACATATCCCACCCTCATTATTTTCCTCTGAGGCACACTTCGCTCGTGACGTGGTCGCGGTTGCCATCATCTGTCAACGCGGCATTGCAGGTCTATATTATCTATTACCTGCCGCGCATCGTTCAACAATGGAAGTCGTCATTAGACAAAAAGGATAATGAATCACTGACGAGTTCTACGTTCGATTTTTTACGCTTAATAGAAAAGGACATTTTTTCAAATTTAAAACTATCCCTTCCTCGTGCGCTTCCGATTTTAAAAGATGCGATTCCCTGCGGATGAATCTCGCCGTTCGACTCGAAACACATCGTCACTCTTACACATCTCTCCTCCGGCCTCCGGGATCGGACGAGAGCGATATCAGGGGAGGGATGGGGAACGCGGCACGGGGGCACGCACACACACCGTCCGTGACAAAAGCGATCGGGACCAGGAGGAGAGCCGAGCAAATAAACGCTGAAAAGAGGAACAAAACCGACATTATGTGGCATTAACATACAAAGTATGTCAGACCCGCGATCCGCAGGCATAACATAGTATCGCGGGATTCGCATGCTTCGCTTCTCGACGCATGCGAGAATGAAGGGAAGAGAGAGAAAGAGCGAATGTACGTATACACACGTGCGCTCACATGTGCGTGCGTATCCGAGAAAGGAAAAAAGATAGAGGGAAAAAGACGGAAGACGGCCGTTGTTGAGTGTGTGAAACGAGGGACCAAGAGGGTAGGATGACGAACGCGATGTACCGGCGAAGGGCTCGCGCGACAAGGACGAAAGAGGGAACGGAAAAGGATCCGCAGCGGCGGATCTCGCTAAATAGGCGCTCACACGAGACGCGTCCTCACAATTAATCGCATTTTACGTTCGCGATTATCTCACGATAACGATTTATTTCTCGAATATATGTATATCTGACATTCATCTTCTAGTATGAAAAGAAATTGTAGCAGTTTGTCAAATGATATTTCGACGTTAACATCAATCTTATATTCGCCGGACGTGTCAAACTCTGAAAAATTTTCTTCGGTTTTACATATCATTCACAGAATCCGCGGCACAGGGAAGGGAGAGCGAGACCGGCGTTTTACGTTATCCTTGCGGTCCTCCGTAGGTCCCGTCCCTTCGCTTCGCTGTCCCCACAGTGTGTGTGTATGTGTGTGTGTGTGCCACGCGGTGGCGGCTTAACGCAAAAGAGGAGGCTCCCGGGAGAAACGGGGAACGGGGACGAGAAGGGCGGAATAGCAGAACGGGCGGGTAAGGGAAAGAGATCCGAGAAGGCAGCAAAGAGCACAAGGCGGTAGTGGCAAAGGGAAAAAACGAAGCGCATATATCGGGGCCGACCGACGACGACGACGACGACACAAACGCTGGGGATACACGCATACACGTACACGCATATATGCACAAAAGGAAGGATCTCCTTCGGTGTCACCACCGTTCGCCGGACTCCCGATCGGCTACCGCTAGCGAAGGACTGCGATCCACTGCGAGGACGATAAAACTATCGCACGGTCCGCACATGTGGAACGAAATAAATATCGAATGAGGCAATGGCGTGACATATATAAAAAAAGTTTTCTCGTGACTTAGGAATAAAATATTGACAAATTAAAAAAATAACATTTTTAACACTTTATCTTTTCCAAAAATTGCAATGATTTATTTCTCAAACACTTATAATAGTTAACTTTCGAGAAAATTGAGAAGATAACAAAAAAAAAAGAAAAATGCGCGTCTACACAAGTCATACTATAAAAATTTATACAAAAACTCTTGAGAGCTAATTGATAAGAATAAGACGCGTAGTACTAATACTATGAAAGCTTATATATAATAATAATATATATACAATAAAGTGTTCAAATGCTCATGATTATAAAAATTAATGGATCAATTCTAAGTAGATTTGTAAGGCTCATAATTTGTTCTCGTAAGACTTGTAAGAACTGCTATGATTGCTTGTAACTTTAATGCAGTATCTTTACAGGCAAGCTTTCTGCTAGTTGATTTATGTGAAAATCGTAAATCTTTACGAATATGTTTTTCGATAAGCACAGAATTACAATTTCAGTCATAACTTCTTACAAGTTTTACGAGAACAAATTACAAGCCGTATTGATTCTGCTTAGAATTGATCCATTAGCATGAAGTTTTCATGTAAAACATGTTAATACAGGTCAATGTGAGACACGTACCACGTTAATTCTGATTCGTGCAGAAATAATCTTTAACGCCGCTACTAACATTAAGGCTTAACATTTGACTTATTAATGCGCATTAAGTACCCTTTCGACGATAAAATTCCACGGCATTTAAGGTGGATCTGATATCTTATCAGCCAGTGTAAATAGGCAGTAGTTCCAAATATGTTCTCTAGTACTTCTTGAGGGAGAATTTCTACGAAATAGAATACCGACAAATAAAACGAATGTTATGCTTAACGATTGATCGTTTTAATTGAGAAATACTCACGACTGGGATCGCTGTGTGTTAACAGCTGAATGTCATTTTCTTTAGTGAATTCCTGCAAGGCCGGTGGTACTACGCAACACGTGGCTAAATTGATCTGTACAATATTTGGTTTTATCTGTAATAAGAGTGAATATCATAATGCGAAAATAGATTCAAAAGAGTACGAATATCGTTTTGTACAACTTATTCTTACGTTGGCCCACTGGAACAGTTCGATGAAAGTGTTTGTATTAATATCGCTCAGTCCGACGCTGGATAATTTGTCAACCTTTACGTATTCCTCTACCACCGACCAAATTTTCTTTAACGACGACAGCATATCTTCCGGACTCTCGCCGCTCTTGTAAGCTATCACTAATGACTCTATAGTATCCGTACATAGTGCCTGAAATGCTGCAAAGCGTGAAGCACATTAGGAATACACAAGAGATTATGTATCACGATTGCGGACGTACCTTGATTCAATGCCTCTTTTAGCGAATCGACATCAGGTGACGAGATAAATACTTTTACGGTGATCTTCAAGTCCTTCCTATCCTCGTCCTGCAAACTCGTGTCCCTCTTTCCGTTGATCTAGAATTGACAGAAAATTTATCGGCCGTTCGAAAGCAAAAAAAAAATAAAATAAAAAAAAACTCCCAACTCTCGCTGCAGAAAAACCGTGTATTATACGTACAACTGTCGTGTCGTCCCCCTTGCACTGTTCATCGTTGAGCACGACCTTCAGCGTCTCGATCAACTGAAATGGATATCAACGTGCGACGTCAGGGAGAAAATTTCGACACAGGTGTCCCTAAACCTAACCTCGACCGCGCGCGAATAGACTTTGATCGATACGTCGGGCGAGACGCAACCACTTTACACGTAATGCGCTACGAAATACGCGACGTTACGCAACTGACCTCATCCGTGGAATTCTGACTCGCCTTCTGCCTCGCCTCGCTCAGGGAGAGTATGTTCCCGGTGTTGACGAGCAGACTTTGCGAGAGCATGTCGAGTGAGCGAGCAGCCGGGAATCGACACGGGACTCTCTCACGGCAAGTCTCGCCCGTCGGAGGTTATCGCGCGTGCATTTATACCCTTATATATCGACGTTAACGTGATGTCATCGATCGTGACTCTTCAAATTCCATTCCGCGGTAAAAAAAAGTGTGCAACGGCTCTGCGCGGCGGTACGTGCGGCGTTGTGTCGGGATTCGAATATTTCGTCGTCGACGCGCGAGACGCTTGATTTCCCCTCGCGATCTCCTCTCTCCTTTGATCGCATTGCGTCATGCAATATTTTCTAGTTTTCCCCTCGGACGAAGGATCACTCGAATCAAAGATATTCCGCGAGATCGAGAAGGAACGACGGACATGAATCTCGCGCGATGCTTCGTCGCGCCGCGAAACAACTCCGTATCGAAGGCGCGATCTCAATTGAAGAGAAATTATTGAATTTTACTCCGCAAAAGTACACTTTTCAATTGAAAGCCACGATGGCTCCACAAAGTTTATCGCAATACCGCAATTTAAAACCTGAAAATAATTTTTCATCGCGTTAATCGCAAAATCGCAAACTGCTCGTCGCGATGCGCAGAAGCCGGACATTTCGGAGTTCCCTCGTTTGAATTTGACTTTTTTTTATCGCAAATTTTTCTATGTAAATTAGCGTCGCCGCATGCAGGCTTTTCCGTCGAATTTTCACGCGAGAAATAAGTACTTGACGTCAGAGAATGTCGTTTGAATTCGAATCGTACCAAAAGAATAAAGACCAAAATTATCTCATTTCCTTTTCCTGTCTTTCGTACATACAAAATATGCGTTTGTTCTTGCGAAATCGCATGCAATAAAAGCGTATATTTTTGTTGTCTTGTAGATCTATTCAAGCTACATATATAACGACGAAAAAAACATTCGCGAAGGAATTAAGCAATGTATGTACACTTTTTCTTATAGGTTTCTAATATATATTTAATATATATATAATATATATTTTGTAGGTAACTATAATATTTTGCAAAAGCGAACCACGATTGATGTACTATATCTTTAATCTAGAAACAGTACACCAATCATAGTTTTGCATTTGCAAAATATTAATTTATTTTGAAACTTATAAAAAAAAGTGTCGCAACCTATTTGTTCACGACCGTATGTATGCACATACATACGTTATGCAACTCGTTTTAACAAGCTTGTAATTTTCGTTATCGTTATAACACGTGCGCATTACTCAAAACCCGACTTAATACGGTTTTCGCAATGCGATTGGCCGACGAACAGAGGATGGTAGCACTGAAAATGACTGCGAGAAATCATGCGTTGTCACGGTTCGCCCCGACGTATATTATAAATTATTGCCGAGCTATATGTAATATATGATCATGTGGATGTTATTTATTAGAGCGTCGTAATTATCGAGAGGCGTGACGGAAAAGTAGGGAAAAGCTTCTTTCAGGAGTTTGCCATCCCGCGCGCGTAATTTTTGCGTGATTGCAACGCGCAATACGGAAGGCAATTGATATATCTGCTTATCATTCGGTAATTACATAAACAGACGTCACACAGTACGCACTTACGCAGTCGGAGACTCGAGGCGATTTTTCTATTTTTTTTATTTTTACAGAAATGCCGATTGACATCGTCGCGGTCGCGTACACCGCCATGGTGGCCGGCGGCGGGGTGCTAGGTTACGTGAAATCAAGTGAGTTTGATGATTGTTGTCGACCAAAGTTGATCCCCAGCGAACACAGATTATAGGCTTGTTCTTTATGGCTGAACTGGCTACGCTAGTTCAGAGCTTATCTTTCTTCTTCCAATGTAAAAAGAGAAAGATAAACTGTGAATTATATAGTGCAGTCAGTTCAGCTATATATAAAGAACAGGCCTAAATAACTGCAATGTTGCAGTTAGTAGGCAACATTGTAACATTCCAGCTATATTGCAGAAATATTACAATGTTGTTGCAATGTGTAGTTATAATCTGTGTTTGCTGGGTCACGAGTGATCACGACGTTTGACTCTCGTCGACGCCGTCACTCCGAATTTGACATACATCCAATTCTCGAGTTAACTCGAACTCTTTTCAGATTCCATCCCCTCGCTGGCCGCGGGTCTTTTCTTCGGATCGGTCCTGGGCTACGGTGTCTATCAGACCTCCCAGGATCCGAACAACATTGCGGTTTTCCTAGGGAGCAGTACAGTCCTCGGAAGTGTGATGGCATATCGATTTTACAACACCGGAAAGATAATGCCAGCTGGAGTAATCGCAATACTGAGGTATATCTGTCGACAGTATCGCTTGCGTGTGGAATCTATGCGTTGCAAAAACGTCCATACTAACGTTGAGATATATTTTTCAGTGCTATCATGGTCGTGAGGACAATCACGAAATACTTCTCACCAACAACAGTGCGTCCCTTGAAGACTGAATGAACCGTTTACCATCAAGCATTAGAGATATTGCATTTATTTATAATTTTAATGTTGTCGGTGCAAGGCATGGGGCAGGAAAGGGCGAGAGACAAGTGTAATCAAAGGATTTATAGGAATTGATGATATTTGAACAAAATATATCTTTTTTTCTTCTATGATGGATTTAAAATCATTGTATTATTTCTTATGCGACTGTCAAGTAATCAGTAGGTCTTCAAGATTCGTTCGGATTTGACGCTCTATCTAGATATCCGTTTATCCAGATTACGAATAAATGTGATAAATGTGCTTCAGTAGCAGAATAATTCAATAATAAAACTCAGAATATTTACACAAATATTATACTTAATTGATGGGAATCAGTACATTTTAATCCGTATTCATTCGTGCTCGCCAAAGGACTGATTCTCGAGTTCGTTGCCAGGTCACCGAAAACTTTTTAAAACAAAATCGTAGCAAGCGATCTGTACTTAATCGATATACAAAAGATATTGCACAAAGAAAACGATTCTCCGATTCTCTTACACTTCAAATTCGGGTTATATCCGGATATTCGAATTTTCGAAGAACCCGAATAAAAGTGTCGGATCTAGATCCTGATTTCGAGTTAAGTCTACTTTATTTATCTTATTTTTATTTTATTTATATTTTATTAACGTTATAATATTGTATAATTGTTGAGAGCGTGTGTAAGACGACGAATTCAGATCCGGATCGAAATAATTCGGATATCCGCGGATTACCCGAATAATCAGAATAATCAGGTTTTGAGTTTTCGAATCCAAACCGATCTCGAATAATCGAATATCTGAATATCCGAATACTTATAGAAGCCCTACAGGATTGAGCAGTCGAACACTAGGATGTATATACCTCCTAAAGCATTGGATTGTTTTTGACACAACTGTCAAATAATTGAAAACACTTTTGCACCACGAACAGCACGAGTATTTAAACGTCCGACTCGGCCAACTTCACACGACGAGACGTAAACACGTCGCATCGAGGGTAGCCCGCATTCGCACGGTGCAGATAAAAAAACGGAAACTGACGGAAACGAACGCATATTTGTGTACCGGCGGGAAAAAGATCGACGGAGCGGAGTGCAGAAGGTACAATTATGCGTGAAACGGATGCGCGACGGACCTGATTTTAAGCCCGTATCAGACTAAAGATTGAGATTGAGATTGGAATGGAATTTGACCAATCAAAACAAAGTTCACTAAATTTGAGATTGGTTTTCTTTCTTCTAATTGGTTAAATCCCAATTCAATCTCAATCTGAATCTTTAGTTTGATACGGGCTTTAAGCGGGAGCGTCCCGTTTGACCACGTCCCGATTGACCACAGCCACTCACAGCGGCCGGTGCCTAGAGATTTTCCACTGTTCAAGCGCTGTGAGTGGCTGGTAATCAATCGGGACGTGGTCAATCGGGTATCATCCGCTTTAAGCCCGTATCAGACTAAAGATTGAGATTGGAATGGAATTTGACCAATTAAAACAAAGTTCACTAAATTTAAAATTGATTTTCTTTCTTTTAATTGGTTAAATCCCAATTCAATCTCAATCTCAATCTTTAGTCTAATATAGAGTCCTAGATTATCAGAGAAGCGCGACCGGCTTATGGCAGTATCGCAAAAGTACTAGAAAATATTAAAAATGGCGTCGAATGGCCAATCATAAGTTTGATTTATTCGGCAGCCATTTATAATAGCGATAAATCAATCTTATGATTGGCCATTTGCGTGTCCAATCAGGACTCGTAACACCGGTCGCGCTTCTCTGATAATCTAGGCACAGTTTAATCATACACAGTTACGACAGTTAAGTCGGAACCTTTGATGTTTGTGTTACCCAGTCACGTGACCCTTCGCCATGTTTTGGGTAGTACAAAGGCGTGTAATTTAAAGAAATGAAATAAAAGAGGTTTAAAATCTTAGCTACAAACGTATATCATAAACCTGTCTCTTAT